ACCTGGCGGTATTCGACCCACATGCAAATCGTGGAACGTTTTTCTTTTGATAAAGATTATTGTATCATGAATTGTCTGCCACATAGTCTGGCCTCAGACGAGCGTGAAATATATAAATATATATATATATTTGATAATAAGTAGTATGTGAATGACTGGATAAAATTTCCCTGGAAGCACACGACCGGTTTCGCAGTTCGTGCCACTCGTCAGGCATGCGTATCCGGTAATCTTTTGTTAGTTCATTCATATACTTGTACCCAAGAAGTGTATTTTCGTCACAAGAACCTTGTTATTATAAAATATTCTGCCAAGTGCACCAGGTCACGTTTGTTGTGGTTAGTAGCATCTAACCCACATACAAAACATCGAATCATAGCATTGATTCTTAAATAGACTGGCTCTGAAAGAGCTGTCTATCCAATGGTCACCCGGTGCTGCAAACAAGGTTATTGTGACAAATAAATATATATACTGGTTTTGAAATATCCAATAACATATATCTGCTTCGTCCTCGGTCACCGGGCATTATCTCACCGCGGGAAAATCACGGAAGGCTTCTCTTATTATAAAGATTATTATACAGTGATTAGTTTGCCACAATCAAATGTGAACGCTATGAAATATACGACTTACCCAGTTCCTCTATACCTTAAACTTGATTCAGTTATCTAATTGTGTAGAATAATATCCCNCTTCTCCAGGCTAGGCCAGTTTCATTCTTTTGCGTATTGCATAACAAGAATCCGCCCTAGTCGTTTTCCGAGTGGGCATATCAAGAACGAATCTGGAGGAAATTGAAAACAAAAAATACAATCCGGCATAGTGCGTGCATAGATGGAACATCTTTATTTTCAAGGGTACCCAGTGATCCCATTTTAAACTAAAATATTAAAATGACAAAAGAAGGTCAATCTCAACGAGGATGATAATAGAATGATAATATAATGCCCGGTGAAGACAGCTCAAGCCGTCACCAGATGTGTTCATCTCAATCAGTGATAACTACCGTTTAATCAGACGGATGGGAAATCGAGTTATCTAACCAGGTTGATGGACTCTCGATGTGGCATGTACTTACAAACACCTTGATAAACAGGTATCTGCAAATGTTTCAGTGAGTGCGATTGTACATGTTTGAAAGGTTCGAGCATAGAGGCAGATTTGCACTGTGAAAAATTGCCACAGTCCACAAGTGCGCATGTCCTCAATGAAAACGAGCGAGTGCAAACGACCTGCGGTGAAGTGGAGCGACAAACCCGGGTGGTTTGCGCCATCAAATGTAGTGTGCACAAACGAAGCGTGGGGCAGCCCCGCGAAAACCGGTTCGAATTGGACTATGCTCGAGCTCTGTGATTTTCTCCGCTCACTCATCAGACAGTTCTGACTCTCGATACGTCATTCGGTATGTCATTCAAAGTGCACTGGTTGACCTTTGTATTCAAAAAGATTGACTAACAGTGTTTATTTCCAGACAAAAAATACGACTAAATTTGTTTGAAATTAGAAATTAGCGTAATGTATGCGGAGTACGTTGCATTTATATGTGTATTTTCGCATGTTTCGAAATCGGTGCTAGATTTTGGACTTGTGACTATCACGACCCCAGTCAATTCGCCAACTGTTTTCCAGTAATTAGCACTTCATTTAACCGTGACAATTCTACTCTAGTTGACCTTGTAATACGTGGTTAGTTTGCGTTTTCAAGAGGGACGGAGGATTGAATTTGTTTAGGTGATTAATTCATAGTGTAAATGAGGCATGAGGTGAAAAGTTAAGAAACACTGGACAACCGTTTCGACTTGGTCGGGTCCCATCAGTAGTGTGAATCCATCGACCCTATTGGATGGTGACCGAATCCGGGACCTCACAGGCAGATCGGAAGAATACCACCCGTTCGGCCACCGGGTAGCGAATCAAACAGTTACTCATTTTGAATCTACACGAAACAGTACAACCGTTCTTCGTTGCAGGCAACGAACCTCGCTCGTTTCATCTGTGAACTCTCGAGTTCGCGATCCCCAGTTGGGTCGATGGATTTGGGCACTGCTAATAAGACCCAGCCAGGTCAAAACAGCTGTTCAGTGCTTCCTGGCTTTTTAGTTCACGCTTCATTTACACGATGCATGCATCATTTTATTTGTGTTTGTTAGTGTTCAATTGATGTTATTCAAAGGACAGTATATCGAAGTGATTGATTGCTAGATCCAGATTGCTTTGGTTCCTCAGTGAAGTGTAAATAGAGCCAGATGGTTCTGGGCATGAACAGCGCTCTGGTGTCACACAACGACCGACGACTTCGATCATTGACACGGTATCCGAAGTCTCATGTCGCACATGTACCTATGCAGAACTCTGATGTTCGGTGCACGAATGATCAAGTTTTGGCTATTTGTGACTATTGGGATACATCTAAGCTCCCGTTCACTGTGATACCGGCTAGAACTACATACTCTTTAGACTGATCTCTTTGATCATGCGCACTTTTGAAAAGCCTTTGAAGTACTATAGAGCGGAATGTCAAGTCACATTTCTGTCAAATTTCGTTCTAAATCAAGCATTCCTAGTGTGACTAAATTCTAATTGTGATGACCGCACAACGGCCCGATGGTAAGGTCACCACATTATCACCTCGGGGATGTGTGTTCGAATCCCACCACTATCGTCTGACTTTCCCCTCCATTGTGTGTTGAATGGCAGCCCTTTGATTGGGCACTTCTTCGTTCCTGAAAACTGTATCTTTGTATACCCATTAAAAGGAAGTAAAATAGAAAAGTAACAGAAAGAGAACATCACAACCAGAGCTGTCAGGCTGTATCTTCGTCCATACCTACCGGAAGATCTCAGTTGGGTCAAGGACACGATTCCGGCTACCACAACAGGAATAAGTTAGTGTGTTCATGCATGCAATGTTGTGCACTGCTGGTCGTCAGTCGCCCACATAGTAACAGCCATGTACGGAGCATTTTCGATCAGCTGACTGATTGATTTGATGGGTGGTTTTCGGGCTTTCGTTTTCAGACTGACTGGAACTTCGCACGCTGCCCGCGAAAGGAAGACATGACGCAATAATAATGGTTTGATGTGCGAGAGTGCAAATGAACAAAAAACGTATAAAATTATTACGGAAAATGTTTTTTCGTTCCTATCGTAAGCACTTTGTTATTCATTTGGCACTGTAATTGGTTCTTGTTTTGCTTAAGTATGATATTTAGGAATAACAGATGAGGGAACATTTGTGTCGCTAAGCTTGATTCCGGCTCATATCCCGTCGTACAATCATCGAATTATTTCCATGAATCACTACGGTCTCGGACACTTCAATCCAACCACTCATTCCGTGACTCGTTCCAATTTCAACGTTGTTAACACTTCAGTATTCTCGGGTGCCACCACGTTTTGTTGGTTCGCCGATGGCGAACAATGCACGGAGTGGTTACTGTGGTTTTTGTGTTCTAAGCACCTGTCCATACCATCGTAGACAGTAAAGTTAATTGGTATTTGGCAAAGTAACACTGTTTGTATCCAATACCGGCTGCGTCACGTGATCATTACTGACGTGTCCCACGATAACAGGAACAATGTTTCGTAGGCAGTGCAGGTTAAATACGGACAGCCGGCTTACATTCGCAACACGAAAATGTTTGGTTTTGTAGCGCTACGGTATTACGGTTTGTATAACCCGACCTTTCAGAGAGAGAGGCTGATATCAGGTCTGCACCATAAGTGCTTCATTTTGTAGAAGGTCAGATGAGCATTGAAAATCCACAGTTTAATCTCCTTTCACACTACGTCACCTGTTATGGTACGGCTCGCAATATATTCGAATTGGTCGATTATTTCCAGGCTAAAACCAGTCATTGAAGGTACAGACTGGAGCCAGAGTTGTATTTGTTCTTTCCATTTTGAAGGTGAAAAATAACTGTCGAATAGAGAAACTCAAAATGTTGTTCAATGTTCAATGTTCTTCAATTAGAGGCAGAGGGTAATTTCCCGTATGAGCCTCATCACCACAGACTCGAAGATCTCATTCATGATAGATCTGCATACCACATTGTTCGCAGGACGCTGTCGAGCT